TCCCTCTGAGTACGCTATTATGGGTCTGCTACCCCCTCCAAAACCCACCCCTCCGCGTCGCGGAGGGAATGATTTGGGGGGGTGAAGGCCAAGACAACTAAAAGTTGCCAAGGTTGAGAAACACTACATTAAGTGCTCACTCCACAAGTCCTGTTACTACCTAGTACAACACTGGCTGGATTCTTTCCTTCTATGCCTTTTTTCTTTAAAATTGAAATAGGTGCAATTTTATTTTTATAGCACACTTTCCCAATCTAAGTTCACTTTGCCACTTAAAGGACATAAGATGTGTCAAGGTTTATTTTAAGAGTATACTTTAGTTGTAAAATTCTCAGGGTATTTATGAAATGTAAAAAATGTAATTTAGGTAGATAGTCGTCATATCCACTAACCCAATTTACTTAAACAGCTTGTTTTTCACTTGGTTACAACCGTAACAAATTAATTATTTTTGTCAGTTTGACAAGTTGGTTAAAAGTAAAACTGAAGACAGATGATAGAATTACATGTCTGGCCTTCGACACTTCTGTTTGTTCACAGTTTTAGAAAAAAAGCTGAGGAAAACAGGAAAACACAGTTACAGTTATTGCATAGAAATTTTGCCTCTAGACATTGTATCTTCAGTCTCATTTTCTGAACTAATACTACTATCAACAATTTCTGTTTCTGCTGAGCCTGAAACTTTGTTTTTATCCTTTTGATAGACTTCTGATCTGGGCAAGTAAATATTTGTTCAGACCCAGACAAGCTTCTCTCCTTTCACATGGTTGAGCACTACAGTTTCTAGATACAAAGAGCTGGAATAGTGAATGGTCTTTCCATGACACGTTATTCTAATAGAAGAATAAAAGAGTAACCTTTTTACTCTTTCCAATTTTCCCAGATTTATTTTTTTAAGTCAACAAACAAGCCATTGGGTGGGGGGAACTGCTTTTTACCAATTTTTCCCAGGTGTTTTTCTGTGTCTTCATATCTCTAGTCCAGTGTTTCTCAACCTTAGTAACTTGAAGATGTGTGGACTTCAACTCCCAGAATTCCCCAGCCAGCATGGGTGGCTGGGGA